AGGAAGGAAGGAAGGAAGGAAGGAAGGAAGGAAGGAAGGAAGGAAGGGAGAGCTTTGCTCAAGACATGGCCCCACCCAGGGCTCTTCATCATGATTCTTCAATGAGAGGAAGGCATTATGCCACTGGTAAGATGGGAGTCGTGATTCCCAGGCTAATCTGAAGAGGGCTTTACAAAGGTCCCTGAAAGGAAAGCTGCCCCAGGTGAACTGACGGACCAAGCCCAGTTTCCTGGGAACCAGAGAGTACAAGGCCTCTCTGCCTCAGTTCCACCGACAGCTCCAGTGACACTCCGTACTGTAGTACCCTCTGGGCTTAAGGCTGAAAGGGGTGCAGTCCAAGGCCTTATCTTCCAGGCCTCAAACCCTTGCCTGCCTGTTGTGATTGTGGTAGAGGAGCCAAGGAACCCAGGGATGGTCCCTAGTACGATGCTTGTGACGTGGGTACGGACTGTTTCTGTAGGATCACCCTCTTCTCTTCCCCTCTGGGAAGGGTGGGGTAATGAAGGGCTGCATGGCCAGAGGGTACCAAGGAGTGTCGTTCTTCCAAACCGTGCCTTCCCTTCTTCCTGTACCCAGCTGGGCACACCTGAAAGAAAGGAGCCCTTCCTGGTCTCTTCATATTCAAAACGAGAAAGAACAACTGCAGGAAAGGCCCTCACACACATCCCTTAGCAGCCCAGGCTCTGGGCTCCTCACCCTAGGTGCTTGTCCACCAGCCTGTCTCATCAGAGGCAACTGGCCACTTCCTCCCCTCTCGGCCAGGAATGAGAAGCAAGCACTGTAGAAACTGATACAGAGTTGCAAGGCTGCTGAGTGGGTCTTGAGCTTTGGGGGTCATTGGGGGTCAAACGACCCTTTCACAGGGGTCATCTAAGACCATCAGAAAACACAGATGTTTATATTATGATTCATAACAGCAGCAAAATTATAGTTATAAAGTAGCGATGAAACTAACTTTATGTTTGGGGGTCACATCAACATGGGGAATTGTATTAAAGGGCCCCAGCATTAGGAAGGTTGAGAGCCACTGTTCGACAGGGAGAATGAGGGCTCTGTGGAGGTGGTGGGTGCCCTATGCTGCCTGGAACACTCAAGCCTCTGCTGCCTCTCCAAGGGACATCAACATCACAGAATCTGTAGTCACAGTGGAGTCTTGGAATCCTGGAGTCCACCGTGGCAGACTTCCCACGGTAGACTCCAGTGTTCTCCACAGAGAGGGACTTGTCCCTGGCAAAGTTCTAAAAAAAAAAAAAAAAAAAAAAAAAAAAGACAGGGTCTCATTATGTAGTCCTGGCTAGCCTGGAACTCATTATGTAGACCAGGCTGGCCTCAAATTCAGATTTGCCTGCCTATGCCTCCCTAGTACTGAAATTCAAGGCATGTGCCACCATGCTTGGCCCTCTCAAAGCTCTTTTTTTTTAAAGTTTTATTTATTATGTATACAGTGTTCTGTCTGCATGTGTGCCTGCTGACCAGAAGATGGCACCAGATCTCATTACAGTTGGTTGTGAGCCACCATGTGGTTGCTGGGAATTGAACTCAGGACCTCTGGAAGAACAGCCTGTGCTCTTAACCTCTGAACCATCTCTTCAGCCCCCCTCAAAGTTCTTACTAAACAATAAAGACAACAAAACTATGAACTGTTAAAGAAGACACACATTTGGGGCTGGAGAGACGGCTCAGCAGTTAAGAGCACTGACTGTTCTTCCAGAGGTCCTGAGTTCAATTCCCAGCAACCACATGGTGGCTCACTACCATCTATAATGAGATCTGGTGCACTCTTCTGGGGTGTAGGTATGCATGCAAGCAGAACACTGTACATAATAAATAAATAAAATAAATAAATAAATAAAAAAGACACACATTTGATGGAAAAGTACAGCTATTACATCTAGCTAATTAATTAGTTCCTTTTTATTTCAAGGATATATATACACACATGTGTATGTACATATGTGTGTATAGGCATATATATCCATTCAGTGGGAGAGAGAATAGATTTAGAAATATCCTTGGTTGATAAAATAAAATGTTAACAACATATGTTGATCATTCTGACTTTTTTTTTTGCAAATGTATTAGCTTCAGCTGAGGGTGTAGCTTGGTGATAAAAGCACTTACCTAGCATGCAAAAGGCCCTAGGTTTGATCCTTAGCAAAACACACACACACACACACACACACACACACACAATTCAGGGAGCAGGGCTGTATTAGAGTGAAGGACAGGAAACACTCATCATGAATGCAGAATAAATGCACGGGGTGCCCCACACTCAAGGAGTCAGATGACTGACATTTTCATATATTTAATTTATTATTAGTGTGTGTGTGAGTGCATATGCATGCGTACACGTGGTAAAAGAACAACTTTGGGGAACTGGTTTTCTTTATCATGGGACCTGGGGATCAAAAGCTTGCGTGGCAAGTACCTTTGCCTGCTGAGCCAGTTTGCTGGTTTCCTTAATGTATATTATAAAATAAAATTGAGTCTGGAGAAATGGCTCAGTAGTTAAGAGCACTTGGCCAGGCATAGTGGTACACACCTTTGTCTCCAGCTTGGGAAGCAGAGGCAGGTGGATCTCTATGGATCCAAGGCCAGTCTGGTTTCCATGGCAAGTTCCAGGCCAACTAAAGCTACATAGTGGGACCCTGTCTCAACATCCCACGCCCGCCCCTACCAAAAAAAAAAAAAAAAAAAAAAAGGCCACTTGCTGTTCTTGCAAACGACCCAGGTTGAGTTCCCAGTATCCACATATATACTCACAATCATCTTTGACTCCAGTTCTAGGGGTCCAATGCCCTCTTCTGCCCTCTGCAAGAACTGCAGGCATACAAACATGTAGGCAAACACTCACACATTAAAAAAAGTAAATATATCTTTTACAAAATATTTTACTGTAATTTATGTGCACAGGCATTTTGCCTGCATGTCTATCTGGGTACCACTTACATGCCTGGTGCCCAAGCAGACCAGAGGAGGGCATCTGAAGTCACACATGGTTGTTAGCCTCCGTGTGGTGCTGGGAGCTGAACCTGGGTCTTCTGGAAAAGCAATCAGTGTTCTTAATCTCCAAGTCATCTCTCCAGCCCAACACATAAGTCTTAAGAAACAAACACGATCAAATCTATAACAATAAGTATTTAACATTGTAAACGAGACAGTGTTAGCATTTGTGGGTTTCTCCTTTGCCTCAGTTCACCATGTGTACGGCTGGAAGCTCAAAGTTGTTCAGCCATGACAGAAAAGGTCTAAGGATGCTCTGTGGAGGAGCCATGTTCTCTCTGCAGGTGTTCATTCGCACATGGCTCACCCCTGAGACCATGAGTCTGATGAGTCCGTTTGTTTTCTGAGGCCTGAGCCCAGTCCTGCCACTACAGAACTCAGCAGAGGCAGGCTGTCCGTCTTTCCCCCGTCCAGTGTCCTTCAGAGACTCAAGGGCACTTCCACAGCCTCCTCGGCTGGTCCCCCAGCCCCTCCCCGCCCCTGAAGCCAGCTCTGCATGTTTATTTTTCTTTTCTGAATTCTTAGGAAAGCAAGCAAGTGGGGAGGAAGACAGATGCCAAGAACGGAGAGGAAAAGGGCAGTGATGCCAGCAGGAAGGCCCTAGGCCCCAGACAGGACTCAGACCTGGGCAAAGAGCCCAAGAAGGGTGTTTTGAAGAAAAGTTTCTCCAGGGACCGAGAGGAGACTGACGGCAGAGGGGCTGAGAAGCCCAAGGAGGAGAAGGTCATCAGGGGCATTGACAAGGGCCGGGTCAAGGCTGCGGTGGACAGGAAGGAGGCTGGGAAGGATGGCAAAGAGGAGAGGACAGCAGCCCCGAAGAAGGAAGAAGACAAGACGGGGAGTATGAGGAACGCAGGCTTGAACAGAGAGAAAGACAAGAAGAGGGAGGAGGAGCCCAGCAAGAAAGAGGAAGAGAAGCAAATGGCAAAGAGCAGAGGCACAGTCTCCCAAAGGGAGGACGAGAGGCCCAAAAAGCCAAGTGAGGGCACAGAGAAGAGAGCCGAGGATGAGGGTGCGCTAAAAGGAAGTGGGGACAGAGACTCGAGAAAGGAGGAGGAAAAGGCTAAGAAGGAAGAGAACCGACCTGATAAGGACATCAAGGAAGAGAGCAAGACCAAAGCCTCAGAGAAGCCGGCCCCTAGTGGCCCCAGCAAGCCCTCTGAAGGGCCAGCCAGAGCAGAGGAGGAAGCAGCTCCCAGCATATTTGATGAACCTCTGGAGCGAGTAAAGAACAACGACCCAGAGATGACCGAGGTGAACGTCAACAACTCTGACTGCATCACCAATGAAATCCTGGTCCGCTTCACCGAGGCCTTGGAGTTCAACACCGTGGTCAAGGTGTTCGCCTTGGCCAATACTCGGGCCGACGACCATGTGGCCTTTGCCATTGCCATCATGCTTAAGGCCAATAAGACCATCACCAGCCTCAACCTGGACTCCAATCACATCACTGGCAAAGGCATCCTGGCCATCTTCCGGGCCCTCCTCCAGAACAACACGCTGACAGAGCTGCGTTTTCACAACCAGAGGCACATCTGTGGAGGCAAGACCGAGATGGAGATCGCCAAGCTGCTCAAGGAGAACACTACCCTGCTCAAGCTGGGCTACCATTTTGAGCTGGCTGGGCCCCGGATGACTGTCACCAATCTGCTTAGCCGCAACATGGACAAGCAGCGACAGAAACGGCTGCAAGAGCAAAAGCAGGCTCAGGAAGCCAGCGGAGAGAAGAAGGACCGGCTGGAGGTGCCCAAGGTTGGGGCTCTGGCCAAGGGCTCCCCCAAACCTTCACCCCAGCCATCTCCAAAGCCTGCTCCAAAGAACTCACCTAAGAAAGCAGGTGCTCCGGCAGCCCCGCCTCCCCCTCCCCCTCCGCTGGCCCCACCCCTTATCATGGAGAATCTCAAGAACTCACTGTCACCAGCTACCCAGAGGAAGATGGGAGACAAAGTGTTCCCTGCCCAGGAGAAGAACTCACGTGACCAGCTCCTGGCTGCCATCCGTTCCAGCAACCTTAAGCAGTTGAAGAAGGCAAGTGATGGTGGGCATGGCTGTGGGCCAGGACAGTTCTGGGCTTGTAGGAGAAAGGAGGGTGTAAGGGAACACAAGCTGAGGAGCCCACGTCCAGGCCACAGGGCCTCAGGTCGCTGCACCTCTCTCAGAGGCGAAGCCCCTTCCTTTAAGGCACTTCTGTTGGCCTCCCACTTCACATTCTTGCCTCTCTACCTATAATCAAACCTGCATTTCCCTAGAGATGGAGAAATAGCCTCTATATGCAAGGCTGCCACAGGCCCGGCCCGCAAGCTTTTCTTTCTCCATTTTTCTTTCAAACAAAAATAATTTTGGGTCTATTTTGTTTACTCTCAGGACCGACCCAAGTCCACAGACTAGTCTGTCCTAAAGGTCACCCCTTGGGAGAGTCTACTTTAAATGACCAGTGTCTTGGACACATGAATGTCTTGGAATCTCTTGATTTTCACATCCCTGTCTCCTTGGAAGTCTTACTTGAGTGACAGAGTCCAGAGTCATTTGTCTTCCTGACTGGACCCCCTAATCAGGACGTCCTGACTGAATAGTCTAATTAGGCTATCCTATTACCTCTTTATAATTTGTGACTAAAGACTAACCATAAAGAAGAACCCAACTGTAATCCGGAGGCTACTTGCTGACATCTGGTTTTTACAGAAAGGGAAAACGTTCCCTTGCTGTCAACACTCCACTCACCCACCCCACAGACACACACTGAGGGGTTTGGGTTGAACTCTAGGGTACCCTGTTGGGCTCCCTGAGCTAACCTGCCTCTGTTTTGCCTTACAGGTGGAGGTGCCCAAACTGCTTCAATAGGACCAGGCAGCTGGGCACCGGTGCCAATGCCATGACTGCCCAGACTCTTGTACCAGGGCTCCACCGACCCCTGCCACCCCACCCTGGCTGAGCTGTCGCAGTTGTCCCTGCTCACCGTGGGAGAGCGCGCGACCTGGGCCACGCTCGAGGGAAGACCCCTCGTCTCTTCTCACTTTCCTTTTCTTGTCTCCGAGGCTCTCCAAAAATTGCTTTGAAACCTGGAGCTGAAGTTCCTGGACAAGAGGAGTTCTTTAAGCACGTCACAGAGAAGATGGTACCATCATATCCCATGTAGCAGGCATGCCGCCAAAGGCTTCCAATGCAGAGAGGATGCCTCCCAGGGACCACACATCCACCCCAGCCTTACTGCCTCCAGGGCCAGGATTCAGGCCTCTGAGGAGCCCTTGGGGGAGAGCTGCTGGGCCAGTGGCACTCTATGGGGCAATGGTAGAGGATGGAGAGGGCATGGGGGTCCAAGGGCAGAGCAGGAGAGCTGAGGAGGCCACAAACCCCTTCATCTGCTGTGCCTAGGCAGCAGGCCTGGTTGGAGGTGCCTGACACCAAATGGAAGTGGAGAGACAGCAGCTGAACGGACATGAAGGGTTGATGCCAAAGCAGACGTTTTCTTCACATCACCTGCTGCTGTATAAATAGCTATATATCTGTTTTTCCATAAGATTTTGATAATATATACAAACCTTTAGCTGCGAGCGGCCATGCCTCACCTCTTTTCATGTGTTAATGGTTCTAATGTCCACCCCAGGTTCCCTAGACCCAAAAGCTCAGGGTCTCTGCCAAATCGTTCAAGGTCTTTGTGGACACCAACTGTGGAGCCTGTGCTGTATGCTGCAGAAAGGGCGGTATGGGGGAGCGCTTGAACTCCCGAGGAGACAACCTCCTGACCTGGTGTTCCAGGTCTGTTCCTCAGTCAGTCTGTCTGCCTCGTATCTATGCCCAGAACTGTTCTCAGGGGTGACAGGGCAGAGAGGCACACAGGGCCCAAGGATGGCTATATTAGGCACGTTCAGGGATGATCATTCTGGGACTCTTCATACCGTGGGCTCAGGGCCAGCTCCTCAACTCACAGCCGTTATAGGGCCAAGGAAGGCACAGTTAGAGAACCAGAGTGAGTGAGTGAGGACAACACCTGTGCCAGGGTGACTTCGGGCCAGCCTGCTCCAGCTGGAGGCAGAGCCACCACAGCCACCACTGTCCCGGTTAGGGGTGAAGCTCAGTGTTCACTCCTATGGCTAACATGGATGCCTCAGGTTCCACCCCCAACACTGTCCTCACAATAAGTCTCTTTCTGACTCTTACTGGCCTGAGGGAGCTGAGGTGCCATGAAACTGCCACCTTGGCTCTTGGTCACAGACAGGTTCGCTGCCTCCATTATTTTATTTTATTTTATTTTATTTATTTTTATTTTTAGCCTCAGTAGTGGAGAGCAAAGTGGTTGGAATATGGGTGGGGGATCCTACCTCCCTACAGAAGCAGAACAGCTGTTCTAGGACTGTCAACTCCTATCCCAGCGTCCACTCCGACCCCATTCCTCCCCAACCCATCCACTGCTTAAGTAATGGGTATTCCAGGGGAGGAGAGAAACCAGCTGGCTCTCGGCTCTCAAAGGGTGTGATTAGGAGCCAAGCCCACAAGCTTGCACCGGATGGGTACAGGGCACTAGCTAGATGCTTAAGGGTGCCTTCTGTTGATCTTTCAGCCAAGCCATGAAAGCCAATAGCGTCACTGTTGTACAGATAGAATTAGTAAGCAGAGCATGTGAACATGGCTAATAAGAGGCAGAACTGAGGTCTTCACTCCTTTCTGCCGCTGAAAAATGGACCGGTGATAGTGTTTTATAATGGCACTGAAGGCCAGACAGAACCAGCTAACCCAGCTGGTATTTTTTTTTATTCTCTATAGACCTCCCTAACCTTGAACTCAGATCTTGCCGCTGTGGCTGTGTGTATTAAAGGCGTGTGCTGAGCCAATCTCTAGCCTTAAAGTGTCCTTCAGAACCTTTCACCTTTGCAGTGTTTTTAATGGAAACATGACTTAGCTGATGGGGGACGCGAAGCGGGGCGCGGCGGGGGTGGTGGTGGTGGTGGTAGAGGAGTGGGTAGTCACGCCTTACCTCCTCCCAGAGACCTCTAAGCTTGGGATGATGTAATCATTTCTGAGTGCGTTAAAGCTGATTGTGGGAGCGCAGCGCCACCTCGAGGCAAACTGCGTCCCAGGCTTTTCTGCTCTTCAGAGCTGCCTAAAGCTTGGACCTAAGCTGGCGGCGGAGGACAGGGGAGAAGACCAGAGGGTGGGAAGGGACATTGGCCCCACTCTACGCGTCTGTCGGTGCAGCGCCGGGGCAGGAGCGAAGTGCGGAGCGGAAGCTTAAGCTCAGGATCTGCGGGATGCGCAGAAGCGTTCCTGCCTGCTCCACGTGTTCCGCGGTCCGCCTGTCGCACCCGAATCCGCAGTCACCTAGGCTGCCGCACTAGAACCCTCTATCTAAAACTGAGGAGGGCCTGAATAGAAAAGAGCTATCCATATCCAGTACCTACGTTTTACAAGGGAGAGGGAAAAAAAGCGGGGGGGGGGGGTCAAAGAGAGCAAATGATTCGTTCAAGTTAATGAATCCAGGTTCCCCTTGAGAATAGATCCACGGGAGAAGACACCTGACTTCAGCCTCTCCCAGCAGCTTCCTCCGCGTCGTCTTCCCTGTTCTTCCCGGGGTTCCATTCCATGTTTGCTGCCCCCAAACCAAGAAATCCTTCTCTTGCTCTCACTTCGCTCCACTTTCTCTTGCCAGGAGACGCCAAAGCCTAGGACATGGGTCTGTCTGGCACTGGCCATACGTGGGCACTGGAGGTTGCTGAGGCTCGCAGGAGCGCAAAGGGCTCCAGGTCTTGGGGCTGGGCTGAGGTTGAGAACTAAGACCTGGACATGGGTCACTCACTCAAGACCACGCTTTTCTGGAAAACCTAGGTCTCTTGTTCCCACCTGGAGGTGCGATCCAGCTGAAGGCAGCATGGAAGTCAGGTCCAGGACCAGGGGTACAACATCCATTGGGTGGCCGATCTTCCCCGAAAGCCTTCTCCCCTTCTGGAACTCCCTTCTCCAGCCCTCCATGCCTGGTCCTTTCCTTCATTTTCCCTTCCTTCTCTCTTGGCCAGAAGTGTCTGCTTGCCTAGGTGCCTCTCTTCTGCTAACTGCCATGCCTCCCTTTCTTACTTAACCTTTTCATCGGCTCCACTGTACCCCATGCTATCTTTGCCCTACTTTCCCAGCCCCCAACCCCCTCCCAATCCCTTGGAGCTCTGACACCCTCACCCCAGATGAATACCCACACCTGAACAGGTTCATGTTTGCCTGGGTTTGTGTGTGTTTCAGCTGAGGAGCAAGCCCAGGTCCTCACATTGGCAGTTATCGGCCAATGTTTTTGTTAAAACAAAACAAAACACCTCTCCTCTTCAACTACATCTCCTATACCAGCCCCTAGGCTGTTGAGTGTTTCCTCCTAGTCCAGTAAGACCCCACTTACATCGTTAGGGTCCCCTAGTTGGTTGTTTTATTTTTCGATACACCTGCCTTTGTCTCCCCAGCGCTGGGATTAAAGGCGTGCACCACCATGGCCGGGAAGTCAGTCCCCTAGTTCTTAAGGGTCACTGCCTGACCCTCCAGCAGCCCTGCTTGTCTTCCTGAGATGTCTGTTGGTTTTCAGGGGAGCTAAGAGATGGAAAAGGCAGGTACAGCCCCCTGGAGGTACGCTACCCTCCCTGAAAGAGCTCCAGGATGTGACAGGACTCCGCTGACTCCTCCCTCTCCCTACTCTGGAAAGTTTCTCCTTTCTTCTTAGAATTCATTTTCCCGTGCTTTGCTGTGTTCACGGGAGCAACTCCATCTGCAGCTCTGGCGGCTGTAAACCTGCCTCCCACCCTACACTACAAAGCAACTTGTCATTGGTCCCAGACTGTTGACTCAAGGACAGTGAATTCTGTTAGGGCCCTTAAACATTAACACCATTTCTCTCCAAGGTACAGGAATCTTATTCTGTACCTCTCACCTTAGCTTCCAGGCAAAGATTGTCTTCTTGCATGTTTTGGGTGGGTTTTTTGTTGTTGTTGTTGTTCTTGTTTATTTGTTTTGTTTTTGTTTTTCAAGACTTTCTCAGTAACTATGGAGTCAGTCCTAGAATTCACTGTGTAGACCGGTGAATTGGTCTTGAACTCACAGAGATCCGCCTGCCTCTGCCTCCCAAGTACTGGGATTAAAGGCGTGCACCACCACTGCCTGGCTAGTCTTCTCAAGTGTGACGGAAGAACTGCTGCACGTGCCAGCTCCATCTCTTTCCCCTACCCTCAAGGAGAAAGTGAATTTGTAGCCGTGGGCCTCGTACTGTCCCCGGTAGCATCAGCTATCCCTTTGTGACAAAGTTCATGTTCAGGGGGAAATTCATGTGCCTCTTGATTTCACTGAGGAAAGGAAAGCTGTGAGTTCACTCAGGAGCAGACCACTGTGCAAGGGAGTCTATGACCCAGGCCTCAAAGCTCCTGCCTTCTAGATTATGTAATAAGGGGTAATGCTCCCTGGGTATGTGGCTACAGAGGGCCCTGAGAACATGGTGGCCACAATGTTCCTACCTAAACCTAGAGGGGTGCTGGAAGCCAGAAGCCAGAGGCTACATTGGGCTAGATTTCCTGAGAGTGGTTGAAGAAAAAAAAAAAAAAAAAGAAGGCTGAATTTAGAGAACTAGGAGAAGGGAACGCTGGGTAAGCTGACATTCTCCCTACTTGGATCAAAAGTCTTAAAACCGTTTTGGGATGTCTCTCATGTTATGCCTGAGGCCCCAGTCCCATTCCCAGTATTGCTAAGCTTCAATATTATGGAATTCTCTTTCCTGCATTTGTCACCAGATGTCTTGAGAGCAGAGCATAAAGACTGTGACCTCAAGTGTCAGAACAAAGGAACACTGGCAGACAGTGCTGGATACCCACTGCCACCCTCAGGTCCCTCTTTAGGTAGCCTTCACAACCCTTGTATTTTTGGTTGGGAGCCTAGCGTTTAACGGCTGAGCCATCTCTCCAGCGCTAGCCTTCACATCCTGACACTTTACCCTGGGTTCCTGGTATGGGCCTGAAGGACCTGACACCTTAACACCCATGAGGATCAGGCAGCTAACAACAGCACCTTACACCAGTCTGTTGGGTGGTCACATCTCTCCACTTGGCCCCTAGCCCTGGGCCTCTGGTCAGGAAGGAAGGACAGAGTCAGCGTTTCAATTCCATTGCATCATCTTTCTGACAACTATCATCCCCATACAGATGAAGGCACTTGGGTTTGGGGACGTTCAGAGGCATGCTCAAGGTCAGACAGTGGTGAGACCCAAATCTAAGTGTGCTTGGATGGACAGGTGCCTTTCTATATCTGGTAGTGCCTCAGCCTGAAATGCTGGTGAGTACCCTCTTTCTCACAGCCACAAATCCATCTCACTTTGGAAAACAGCCCAGGGATCCTCAGGGGTTCTGCCTGGGATGGGGATGATGGTGGAGCACTCCCCCCACTGGTGCTGCCCTCCCATGCTGTGGGATGTGGATCAGGCGGCAGTCTGGGTTTGGTGGAAGGAGGCAGGGCTAAGAGAGGGGTGAATGGGGCCAATGATTCCACTGACATGAGTTACATCATTACAGTTTTAATCCTGCAGGCCTGAGCTCCGGCC